TTAAACCATCAAGCATGAAAAATGTTGCTTCAGGAATCTTATTGAATGAGAACATAAGAATCATGCCTTAAGAGACATCACAATTTATAGGTCAAATAGAGAAGGGTGAGGCTAAAAAAAGAGACTGATCTAGAGAAGAAAAATCCAAGAGTGTTGTGTGACAGAAGATTTATCAGTTCAGACTATGTTTGGCTACAAGTAACAAGGATCCAAAATAACAATGTCTTAAAAAATAGATTTTTTCTCTTGCATAAAAGACCAAAAGAGAATTGCAGAGTTGGTTTGGAAGCTCAACAATCATCAGGGATCTAGCATCTTTAACCAGTCACCTCAAGATCTCCAGCCATCACATTCACATTCCAACTAGCAGAAAGGAAGTAAAGAAGACCATGCTTATTCTTTAAAATAATTCCTTTAACCCCCAGACTTTTCTGTTCAGATCTTTTTAGCCAGACTTAGTCTTAACAGCTGCAGGTAGCTGCAAGGGTGGCTGAGAAATGAGTCTCTATTTCAGGCAGTCATGCATCTGGAAGAGGAGGAGAAGGGATACTGGAGGGCATCTAGTCATCTCTGTTACAAAAGCTGTGGGGAGAGAAAATTTAAAGCAAGAGGAAATGGCCAAGAGGCTAATATTGCTGAAGTGAGGATTAAAAAAAAAAAACCATCCTTTGGTCTTAGCACCATCAAAGTCATAAGGTGACTAAGTAAGCCTTGTTTCAGTGGAAGAATGGGGGGTAAAAGTCAAATTAGGTAAAGATTATAAATAAATAAATTATAAATCTTTTAGGAAAAGATTATAAATAAATCTTTTATAAAGTCAAATTAGGAAAAATGATAAATGTGTGGGAGATAAGAAAGCTAAGGATCATAGGGGAACTAAGCTCATGTGGGAAATTTTGCAAGGAAGGTTGGCAAGCAACATACAAGAGGCCACTAGAGCAGAGTGGGGCTGAAGAAGAGTTTGCTTGGTTTTGTTTAAAATAGAGATATCTGACCTTGGGGGGAAGGACCTGGTAGAGAGGCAGAGCCCCACTCACAAGGAATAAAGGTCAATTACCAGTGTGAGGCAACTGGGGCTCAGGGTCTCCTGTGAAGGACTTAAGGCCAGGGCTGGGGGACACTGCCCATCAGCAGGGCCAGCACATGGCAGGTGCAGGTGTAGAGGGTTTAAGGGTCTGGAAGTAGGAATTTGAGGGCATTCCTCAGTGAAGAGTCTGCTTTTCTCTGTGAAACATACTAGTCTCCAGCTAGAGGGAGGGCAGGGGGAGGAGCAAGCTGCCTGCAGGGCTGTGCCAGGGACCTTGACATGGTGACCAAAAATTCATGCCAGTGCCACCTGCATCACAAGGGCAGCTGTGGAGAAAGCAGGGGTCAGAGTCAGAGGGGTCAGAGTCTTTTGTTTTCTCTCTGGATTCTTCCACACCCTGGATTAGTCCAGCTCTCCACCATCTCTGGTCCTATGTGCAAGCTCTTTCTAAAAGGAGGGGTCCACACTTCCACTACAAACAACCACTGGTTTGTATTCTGTCCCTGAAAATTCATTTGCATTGCTAGAGTACAGCAGCCTCCCTTTATCAATGGTTTTGCTCTCTGCAGTTTTAATTTCTCAAGATCATCTGTGATCCAAAATTGCTAAATGGGAAATTCCAGAAATAAACAATTCATAAGTTTTAAATGGCACACCATTCTGAGTAGCATGATGACATCTAGCACTGTCCTACCTTGGATGTGAATTCTTCTTTTGCAGATCCCTGTTATCTACACTGCCTGCTCCTTGGTCACTTAGTAGCCATCTTGGTCATCAGACTGACTGTCACAGGATTGCAGTGCTTGTATCTGTGTCACCTATTTGGCTTCCTAATAACCCCAAAATACAAGAGTAATGATGCTGGAAATTTGGATATGCCAAAGAGAAGCTGTAGAGTGCTTCCTTTATGTGAAAATGTGAAAGTTTTTGACTTACGCAAGAAAAAAAATATGATGAGTCTGCTAAAATCTACTGAAAGAATGGATCTATCTGTGATATTGTGAAAAAGGAAAAAGAAATTCATACCAGCTTTGCTCTCACACCTCAATTACAAAAGTTACAGCCACAGTGTGTGATAAGTGCTTAATTATGAAAAGTAATGTGTTCTAACTGATGGCAATGTATTGTGACAAATTAACTTAATCTTAATTAAACTTTATTAGGTATGTATAGGAAAAAACATAGTACATAAAGACTTTCTGTGGTTTCAGATACCCTTTGGGGTCTTGGAACATTTCCTGCTTAGATAAGGGTATATTACTGTTTACAAATGGAATCATAACATATGTATTCTTTGTCTACCTTTTTCTGACTCAAAATAATTATTTTGATATATTTTCAATTGTATCAACAAATTGTCCCTTTTTATTGCTGAGTTGTATTCCTGAGTGTGGATATACCACAATTTGTTTATTCATTTATTTATTAATGGAAAATTGGATTGTTTCCAGTTTGGAGATCTTACAAACAAGGCTGCTGCATATTTGTGTATAAGTCTTTGTGTGAGCATATTCTTTTATTTTTCAGGTAAATACTGCCAAATAAAAAGACAAATCTGGGTGTCTTAAGGAGAAACTATTTGTTTTCTTTGTTTTTTTTTTTTTTT